TATCTATCTATCTATCTATCTATCTATCTATCTATCTATCTATCTATCTATCTATCTATCTATCTATCTATCTATCTATCTCTAATCTATCTATACCTCGTTTACCAACCGATTTGTGCGACCATTTTGAAAAAAAAATATTTTTGATCATCTTTTGCGACCTGTGCGGCCACTCTCATATGATCGCTCTTCTGATAATGATGTGATTATTAAATATTTGATTTGTAGGGGCCCTGATCTCATCTAATCAACTCTGGTGGCTCTCAAAGAGTAAATATAATAATTTTAAAAAGAGGTTAAACCTAGGGCCACCTCGGCAACATGGGTGGCCTAGACATTTAATAATAAATAAAAATAAACAATAGGCAAATATGTAGTATCCATACAGGTAGCACTCGCTGCATGACTGCAATTGACCCCGGAATTATTGTCATATGACATGCTGGTTGTTAAGTGGATCGCTGCATGGCTGCACCTGATTTTATAACCTTTTTCTTTTTGCAACACTCGTTAAGGGAATCTATTGTCTGTAGTGGGTGGTGGTTTTTTTTTGCTGGAAACCAGAAGTAAATGTCAGTTTCCGGTAAAAAAAGCATAAATCACAATCATGTGACTGCGGGATGCTGTAAATGGTGGGCTGATCATGTGACCACGGGGAGGGAGCCGATGAGCTTTGAATGGAGGTCGTAAAGGTCCATTGTAAGGGCACAAAGAAACTGGTCGTAAGTTGAGGACTTACCTGTCAATGAATTTAACAACATAAAATCACAGCCAGCCAGCAGCAGAATTCTCTCTGGAGCATCTCAAAACAGCCTGGTAAGAACTTCACACTATTGTCAAGACCCCCAGGCTTAAATGATTGGTTTGGGGCCAATTGAAAGTCTGGGGTTGGGTGGGGTGGGGTTAATGACTTCTGCCGCAGCCATTTGAGCTTGTTGCAATGAAAAAAGAAGTGCTTTGTGACCCATTCCCACATTTATGACTGTTGCAGTGTGCTTGGAGTCACATGTTCGTCATTCCTTCCCTTCACAATTGGCTTGCGACACACAGAGTCAATAGAGAAGCTGGCAGTAAAATCAGAAGGAGCAGTCACATGATTTTTCTGCTTAGCAACCATGCCACTTTTGCTTAACAATTGAAAGGGGAAGTGACATCATAAACTCTTTCACGGGCGGTGATTTTCTGCTTAGCGACCACGCTGCTTAGCAACTGAGTTTCCACCCTGAGCTGTGGTTGCTAAGAGAGGACTATCTGTGTATCCCTATCGATCTCTGTAGAAAATAAATTAGCTTGGCTGTTCTCTCGCAACTAAACCAGCGTAGGGTGGAATGAGCGGGCCTTAAAAGTAAATCACTAATCAAATAAAGAGGTTTTTATGGCCCTTTGAAAGGCTAGTTTCCCCCAGAGACCAAGGGAGCGTTTTCCAGGTTCACAGAATTTTGTGAGTAAAGGCCCCAAACCTGGAGAGAGAAATTGCGAGGGACCCTGGAACCAACCGGGATAATTGAAGCACCAGTACCCGTGGCTTCAACTGAGCTCAGGCATGGAATTCATTCCTTTATTCAGGATGGGGAATTATCTTTATTCCAGTGAGAGAATACCTTGCAAATTTTAAAGAAGTCATTCATGTTACAGATGTAGAAAAAAATTCCCTTTTGTTCCTGGCACGTTATGTGGCCACCTCATTACTATTTCCTCCTTCCTTTCCTTTTCTTTCCTGGAACTGCAGGGAGCAACAGCGATGGAGGAGCAGAGGCGTGTGGTAATCAAAGAAGAAGAGAGAACCGAGAGTGGGGGAAGAGAGCCTTTCATTGTCCAAGTCAGGACCATTGGGGACTCTTTGACCGGGGCTGGCCCATCCCACATTAAGATGGAGTCACAGGAGGAAATCCACCAACGCTGGGATTTTCAATGGCAGGAATTCTTGAAAAGAGTGGCAGCGCTCCCCGCCGCTCTGCCTCCCTTGGACGACGATGCCAGGGGTTTCCAGGTCCCCTGGGGGAGAATTAAGGAAAATCCTCCCGGGGAGAGTTCTGGGGAAGCCAGAGGGGAATCCGTGCTCCAAAAGGATCCGAACATCAGTGGGAAAGCTTGGATGGACAGGGAGAAGCTGGATTTCTGCATGAAGGTGAAGGTGGAAGAGTCCCTAGAGGAAGTTGACCTGGGGAGCCAGTGGCCCCTGCAGCTCAGGCAGTTCGGTCCGCAGGATGCTGAGCAGCACCAGGAGGTATCCAGTCCCCAAAGGCCGAAAAAGGGGGGGAGGAATGGGTTGGACAACGTGGAGGGTGGGTTGCTTAAAGCTACGAAGATTGTGTGAAATGGGTTACTAGCCAGCTATGGTAGCAGAGGTCAGTTTGTAATTTCAATGTTGGTTGCCTGTGAAAAGATGGTGATTAGCCTAATGGAGATATTGACTTACTTGACTTAAGTCTTTAGCGTCGGTACGGCATCACCAATCCCTTCGCTGTAGAGTCGCATGCATCCCGAATCAACGGGATCCATGAT